ATAATTCAAGACAAGATGGTAAGGAGGGCATTTACAAAAATACATCTGAAAGGCACTGAAAAAAACACTAAATGCCCCTCCCCCCTCCACACTGATAAAAGAAAAAATGCATTCATTATTTCTTTGCATTGAGACCTGCAGAGCATTGCAACCATGATGGGTGCATTGCGGGGTAATACACGGGCTCCTGCACTGTTTATGTCCTAGTGCCAGGTCCATACAGACCTTCTGTTCTTTAGCTGGAGGAAGTAAACGATGGACTACAAGCGCAGTGACGTCACCACAATTGTGCTTCATTGAGATCAACAAGTCGCTCTTCCGCTGTGGCCAATAGGACTTGTGGTGTCTCCATTCAAAGATCTCATGAATGGATCTGTGAATGGATGATGCAGCTGTATAGGCAGAACCATGCAACATTCAAATATAGACAGAAGGCTGCAGGGAGAAGCACCCTGCGATTGAGGTATGTCAGGGGTGGTTCTGGGAATTAGCCCATGTATCATGTTACACCTTAAATATGAGTGTAACATGAAACATGGTCCCAAAGCTGAACTAAGCCCCCACCCCCATTTACACCTGGGCATTTTATTGCATGTTTCCAAAAGCTCAGGGGTGGACAACTCCAGCCTTCCAACTGTTGTGGAACTACAAGTCCCATGAGGCATTGCAAGGCTGACAGTTATATACATGACCCCCAGAGGCAGAGGTATGTTGGGATTTGTAGTTAAAGCAGTACTCCGGGCAAACATGTTCTTAACCCTTGCAGTGGGCCCCCTTGCCCCACTGCAAGGGTTAAGTACTCCTTTTTATCTGGGTGCAAAAATAAAAAAAAAGTTATACTTAACCAGTTCTTAGACCGGTCCCTGGAGCCTCCTTCCCCCTAGACTGTAGCAGTCTAAGGTCCTGTGAGTCATCACGTCCAATACAGTGCATAGGAGGTGGGGATGCAGGAAGACATACCATCACTGCAGTTTAGGAGGAGACAGGCTGGAGGATCCGGTCTGACAGCCAGTGAGCTCCAAGGTTCAGGTGAGTATAACTTTTTTTATTTTAGCACCTAGACAAAAACGAGCAGTTAACCCTTGCAGTGATACCAAGACAAATTCAGATACTTACACCGCTTGCATTTATTATTATTATTACATAGTATTTATATAGCGCCAACAGTTTGCACATCGCTTTACAATATAAGGAAGACATTACAATCACAATACAATGCAAGACAAGATGGTAAGGAGGGCATTTACAAAAATACATCTGAAAGGCACTGCTAGGGTTAAGAATAGTTTTGCCCGGAGCTCTGTTTTAAAGTACAGCTGGAGGGTCGGAGTGGCCCACCCTTGCCCAAGCTGGACACCATTCAACTTGAAGAATCCCATTATTTGCAATGGTGCATGTTCACATCGGAACATTATGTCACCTGTCTCTTTTAGCTCGATAAAGTATATAAGCTCCTGTATTGAAACTGAATTGTAAATGTACTGTCTCCATCCATTTTGTAAAGCGCTATAGAAACCCTGTAAAATAATAATAAATAATAATCATGAGCTTCTTTGGGGCAGAATCACGCACATTTGACCCCTCAGACTTCAGTGGGAGCAACTGAAGAACTAAAACATGCATTTTTCACTCAATTTTGCACCTCCCAACTGTCTCCTCCTCCTAGTAACCAGCTTTCAATAAGCTAAAACTTCAAATCTCAAGCCTGAAAACACTTGAAAAATATGTAAAACATAAAATTTCCCTAAAACGCAAAAATGTGAATAGGGGTTTCCTTTTTTTAGGTCAGCGAAGATAACTTCACCCCTGTGAGCAAAAAAAGTGAATCATGAAACCACAACACACTAAAAAAAAAAAAAAGTTCACGAGGGTGCTTTTGGTCCTCCTCTGAAGAGGAAGGGCCACGAAACCCTGAACCCGCTATGGCACACCTCTCTGGCAGGGCCAAGGTCAACCCAAGTCCACCTGGACAAAGCCAGTCGGACCCCGATCCTTAGGGACCTATCGAAGCAGGTCCACCAAGTACTAGGTAGGGGCTCTCACACAGAGAGACCCCTAGGTAGAGGGAGAAAACCCATAGAGGCCACATAACCTTCCCCCTAACATCAGGTTGGGCCCTGAAGGTTCCCGCACCCTCCTTGATTCTGTGGGGTCAAAATGTGCTCAATCATGCATAAAATAGTGCGTAAAATAAATAAGTGCCAGTGCACCCTTGCAGGCTTTCCGGCCGCGATAAAAAGTTGCTCCGTGTTAGTCAAAAGACCTACCCAAGAAGCGTAGTGCAGGAAAAGCTGTAGGTGACGTGACCTAGTGACAGTGAATCACAGTGGGGTCCCAAACCCATAATGATTTTCTGGCACCCTTGGGACAGCACCGCAAGCCTCTGCGCTTCCAACCCTCAAGTGCAGCCCCATTCCCATCAGAAGGCATTAGCACTGGAGAGGTTTTTGACTACAACTGGGGACACGTCCTGCATAACTGGGCCAGAATCAACCTTGGGGGAAAGGAAACCTCCTCCTACCCACCTATTACTCCAGAGGGATACAAGCCTGCCAGCCCCGGATCCAGAGACAGCACCGTTCTCCCCCAGAGCTTACTAGACTGCCATCTCGCGGGCTTGGGTGACGCCGTTCTATCTCCAGAAAACACCAGGGAATACTAGACTGCCATCTCCCGGACTAGGGCGACACCGTTCTATCTCCAGAAAACACCAGGGAATACTAGACTTCCATCTCCCGGACTAGGACGCCACCGTTCTATCTCCAGAAAACACCAGGGAATACTAGACTGCCATCTCCCGGACTAGGGCGATACCATTCTAACTCCAGGGAATAATAGGCTGCCATCTCCCGGACTAGGGCGACACCGTTCTATCTCCAGAAAACACCAGGGAATACTAGACTGCCATCTCCCGGACTAGGACGATACCATTCTATAAAAAGTTGCTCCGTGTTAGTCAAAAGACCTACCCAAGAAGCGTAGTGCAGGAAAAGCTGTAGGTGACGTGACCTAGTGACAGTGAATCACAGTGGGGTCCCAAACCCATAATGATTTTCTGGCACCCTTGGGACAGCACCGCAAGCCTCTGCGCTTCCAACCCTCAAGTGCAGCCCCATTCCCATCAGAAGGCATTAGCACTGGAGAGGTTTTTGACTACAACTGGGGACACGTCCTGCATAACTGGGCCAGAATCAACCTTGGGGGAAAGGAAACCTCCTCCTACCCACCTATTACTCCAGAGGGATACAAGCCTGCCAGCCCCGGATCCAGAGACAGCACCGTTCTCCCCCAGAGCTTACTAGACTGCCATCTCGCGGGCTTGGGTGACGCCGTTCTATCTCCAGAAAACACCAGGGAATACTAGACTGCCATCTCCCGGACTAGGGCGACACCGTTCTATCTCCAGAAAACACCAGGGAATACTAGACTTCCATCTCCCGGACTAGGACGCCACCGTTCTATCTCCAGAAAACACCAGGGAATACTAGACTGCCATCTCCCGGACTAGGGCGATACCATTCTAACTCCAGGGAATAATAGGCTGCCATCTCCCGGACTAGGGCGACACCGTTCTATCTCCAGAAAACACCAGGGAATACTAGACTGCCATCTCCCGGACTAGGACGATACCATTCTAACTCCAGGGAATAATAGGCTGCCATCTCCCGGACTAGGGTGACGCCGTTCTATCTCCAGGAAACTACAGGACATACTAGACTGCCATCTCCCGGTCTAGGGCGACACCCATCTATCTACAGGAAACTCCAGGGAACACTAGACTGCCATCTCCCGGACTAGGTTTCCCAGAAAACTACAGGGAATACTAGACTGCCATCTCCCTGACTAGGGCAACACGTTCTATCTCCAGGAAACTACGGGGAAAATTAGACTGCCACCTCCCGGACTAGGGTGACACCGTTCTATCTCCAGGAAACTACAGGGAATACTAGACTGCCATCTTCTGGACTGGGGCGACACCGTTCTATCTCCAGGAAATACTAGACTACACCCTCCCAGACTAGGGTGACACCATTCAATCTCCAGGAAATACTAGACTACCACCTCCCGGACTAGGGTGACACCATTCTATCTCCAGGAAATACTAGATTGCCACCTCCCGGACTAGGGCGACAACGTTCTATCTCCAAGAAACACTAAACTGCCATCTCCTTCCCCAGGGACAACACTGTTCTCCTCTGAAAACCGATAAGAACAGATACTACATCTGATCTTTGCCAAAAGGCAGAGAAGCGATTAAAAGTGTAACTGAAGCCAAAAGTTGTTGGTTTTTTTGTTTTAGATAAGTGTGGAGAGGGATTAGAGCGGCTGTTGGGATTTTATTGTTATCTGTTTCACCGCTAGGGAGATTCACCCTTGCTATTTGTCCTGGTGACTGTTGTAATTGAAAGTGAATCCAAAATGCTGGGTTGTCATCAGAACAGTAAGATGGAAAATCTTCTAATGTGAGCACTAGTTCTGGTGACCCTGCTGACCACCAGGGATTCCTCTCAATTTGGCAGGATTTCCTCTCACTTCCTGTTGTGGCTATCAGACTGTTGCTGCCATCTGTATTCCTAATGGAACACAGATAGCAAAGAAAGCGGATGGGTAAAACATATCCTACTCTATGGATAGATAAAAAGGTTTTGATTTCAGTTCTACTGTAATGAGTGTAGAGCTGTATTAATGTGTCTTTCATATCTGTCTCGAATTCAGCTTTAATATTTTACTACATTTTTTTTTTTTACTCTGAAAAGGTGATTTATTTCAGTCCCGGCTTCACACTGGCAGCCCTCAGCACAAACACATGCTCCTTTATGGCGGGATTTTTAACACGAGCAC